AGAAAGCATCTTCAACAAATGGTGCTGGCACAACTGGATGTCAACCTGTAGAAGAATGAAAATAGACCCATATCTATCACCATGCACAAAACTCAAGTCCAAATGGATCAAAGACCTCAATATCAGTCTGAACACACTGAACCTGATAGAAGAGAAAGTGGGAAGTACCCTACAACAGATGGGCACAGGCGATCGCTTCCTATGTATAACCCCAGCAGCACAGACATTAAGGGCAACATTGAATAAATGGGACCTACTGAAACTGAGAAGCTTCTGCAAAGCAAAGGACACTGTCACTAAGACAAAAAGGCAACCCACTGACTGGGAGAAGATCTTCACCACCCCCGCAACAGACAAAGGTCTGATCTCATCAAGCCATTTTATCACTACATTTCCCCCTCTTTTAGACCAGTACTATTTTGTTTTACTCTAGGTTCCTGGGCTGTTTATTCTCAGGTTCTTGGTTAACCAAGCAGTATCTAGCATGGGTTTCATTTTGTGGAGCTGGTTACTGCCACAAGCTTTGTGCTACCATAGTCCCAGCATATACTGCAGGCAGTACACTATTACAGACAAAGGGTTTGTGACTGGGTTGGTGTGTATGTTTCTCTTTTGAGAGCATGTGGAGTACCTCCCTGTAGCAAAGACACTGAAACAGAGGGATGAAGCCTCTTTGTAGGCATCGACTTGGCATCTCCAAGTTCAGTGAGTCGTATCGTGAGGTGTTAAGTGATGGAGCCTTGGAGTCAGTTTGTGGGGAGAATCCTAAAGTTTTGGCAATAGCCTGGCTTGTTTGGGGATTCCATGGAGCACTTTGGGCAACAACTATTATTTTTCAATTTCCGCCTACCGTGACATATTTCATGTACAACTTAGTCACTGTTCCTGGATTCCACATTCAATAGAGAGGACAGAAATTCTGGTTTCCTCAAAAGCTGTCATTTCATTTACAGAAGAAGCATTTTCAGCTTCTAGCATAAGTCAGCTGCAGCTATATGTATGGAAACGCCATCATACAGGGCACAGGGGAAGAGCCATGGCCTCGGGCTCATCTCCTATGTCAACCTAATGGTGCTTTCTCTTGAAAAACAAAATAATGATGTCATCACTTTTAATCTTAGCCATGGACATTTATCTACATCATTTTCCATCTGTGCTGGGTAGGGCCTCTTAGGAGCTAGAATGAAATGTGCATACAAGCTCCACTCTTGGGAACATGTAAATTTTAGAAATGTCATTGAAGTTTTATAATGAATAAATATTGCCTTAGGGATAAGGCTAAGAAAGTATTCAATTCAATTCCCATATGACATTTAATGTGAAGGAATGAAAGAATCAGTTACAACAAAGACCTTCACTACAACGGGGAAAGGTAGAACAAAGGACTCTCAACTTGTTCTAGTCCATGTGTGGGACTTGCACATGAATCCCCAGTGTTGAGCATCATTCATTCTGACCCTGGCAAGGAGGGATTTAAGAGAGGAAAGTTGGTGACTTGATCTCTGTGTCACAGCTTAGCACTTTGGGGAAAATGAAAAACAGTCCAGAGACACAGTAAGCTCTGTACACAGAAACTTAGCTGTTCATTTTCTCAACTCACATCCTTCCTCGCAGAATAATTAAACCATAATTAAGCTTGAAATAAGTTCTGAGCTAAGCAGATGAAGTAATTGTGGAAAGAGGGAAGCGGTGCTTTAGGGAATGGGGCTCAGCAGAGGCCTTCCTTCCCCTGACACCGGGACCACATGAAACTTGAAGTCTGCAATACCTGGTCAGCCAAGAGCTCCACAAATCCTGACAGTTTAAATAAGACCTGACAAGTGTCACCTTCCCAGAGCTTCTCCAGAGCCTGTCTGCACCACAGAGGTCCAGGTGAGTACATGGAGGTAAGATCTTTGATCCCCTCAGCTGTCATATGGAGAGTTTCATGAAAGCAGAAGAGTCTCTCTGACTAATCCAGAAAGCAGTTGAGAGGCCCTGTAATCCTCAGGACCTCCACTTTCCTTCTAACCCTGGCTCCAGAAAGATCAAAGGAGACTAGTTCCTGGAGATACAGAGATGGAACAGAAATGCTGAGGCATCGCTATCCATCCTCAGGCTGGAGAATCATGACAGGGGGTTGTTTGTTGGTTTGTTTGTTTGCTTTTCTTAAAGGAATCAATAGCATATAGAAGATTTTCAGATGTCTGTCAAACTTGGAGACACTCACCATACACTCCTGTAACATCAGGACTAGAGAGACTGAGGCAGGGTCATTGTTGTTCAGGGCTAACCTGATTTACATAGAGAGACTGACTCAAATATAACAAAACAAAAGAAATACAAAAAAAATTATTGTTTTAGCCACTGTATTTGCCAGCCTTGTGACTCCAACAGTATCACTCGCGTTTGTAACGTTGGCTCTTTTCACTTTTGGTGCCACTTTTCAAATACTAGCATCATAACTCCTAATTTACAGAAGGCTTTCCTTCTGTATCCATCCTTTGTCTCTGCAGTCTACCACATATTATACATATTTATATCAGGTACAGTCTTCATATGCCTGGTGGATATGGAGGAACACAAACCAGTAAGTGTATGAGTTATCATTACCATCGTGATAATTTCTGCTATAATCAATCAAGGCTGTGAAACATGCTGAGATAGCTCATTTTAGTTTTAGCCCAGCACTAATCAGCAAAGACAAATAATCTGTTTTCCTTTTGTTTGCTTGGTTTTAGAAAACCAGGAAAGATGGATGTAACCTATGTCAGGTTATTGGGGTTTATTCCCGGACAAGGGATCATCAGTTTATCTAAACACAAGTCCATCTTGTCTTTTAAATTAATTTCCTATGGCATTTCCAAATATAATGTGGGAATAAATTGTGTCTCCCTCCTGGGACAGTGCATTCCAGTTGAATGAATCACTTCTTAGAAGATCAGAATCTTTTATGAAATGTGATTGAAACTTGGGGGACAGAAAGGGAAGATCAGAAAAGTAGGAATTCCCAGGAAATCAAACATTAAACAAACAGGGAAAAAATGTAAATATTTTCTATCAGTATTTGAGGTGAATTATTGAAGGGATTTGTAGAGATTCCAACCTCTGACTAAACACTTAATGTTTATTGTATTAATGTTTGTGTTAATGAATGCTGACGTGCTTGGTATTAATGTCTGGAGCATATTTCATTCTGTGCAGATATTTGGGGTGTTATTGTGATTTCTAGGACATACCGATAATACAGCCAACAATTACACCTTTGTCAGAGGAGCAATTGAAAAAAAATAACTGACATTCTAGAATCATTTGGCAACATAAACCAAAACTGGAAACACGACTCAATTAAGGCAGGACACAGGTGGGATCATCTAGACATAGACATTTAAAACAATCCTGTGAGTTTCACAGAAAGAAAAGCAGTGTGAACAGAGGGAGTCCAAGTACTCAGAACACACAAACTCATGAATTATTCAGATTCCTCCTATTCTAGGAAAAGCATCCAAAGCTTACCACAAATCCCTGAGAAATGAGAATGGAGCTCTCGAACATGAAGAATAGCATCCTGCTAAGGTTGAAAGTTCTCGAATCAGTTCAGACTGATGTGGAACAAAGAAGCCTGCCTGCTAAACAGTTTGGGAAAGAAACAGAAGGAGAAGCAGACTACAAAGCAAGTTGACATAACTGCTACTTACAAGGCCCCACAGAGGCAAATGCCATCATGACTTCTTTGATGGGAGAATTCCTACTCATCCCAGTATGCCTAAACCTCTGTACTGTACGCGGCCAATACTGAGGAGTCATAAGTTGTTAACTGCACCCATCTCAAGGCTGCACTTAACACCTCATTAATCCCTTTTTTCCATCCCCCCCCCATCTTCTCCCCTGGTGGAGAGCTGGTCCCTGCTCTCTGAGATGCCCTGAGGTCACTCACTAGAGTCACAAATGTCCTGAATCTCCACTGGGGTTATGACTCTCTGCTACCCCCTCTCCTAGGAAGAACTATAGAGTTCTGCTAGACACACTCTTTAGCTGCAACCTGGTGGGTCCATGAATTTTTCAGCTATCTATTTATAACTCAGTTTTAACTGTCAGGCCCTATCTGGAGAGGTTTTTCCATTTGATTTGACATTGAGGGCTACCTTAAAAAATAACCAGTAACATATATATGGAGTAAAGTCACAGAATGGTCAACATAGAAACTTTTTAAAAATTAGGCTATAGAATAAAAGCTTTAAAACTTCAAAGGCAAATCTAGAAATTGTTATGTTAGTCAAGATGCAGATAAGAAATGAATATCAGACAAAGGAGGGGGCAGTGTGGAGGGTAAAGTTAGCAGATCTGAGAGAAGTTACAGTTGCTGACCCAGCAGGGTTTCCCAGTGTCTGTGATGTGGGGAAGCAAACAGGTTCAGCATGAACCTCAGATTTGGGAAATTAAGTGGAGAAACATGAAATAGAATGAGAAACAGAGGAAGAAATTTTGGTTGGAGAATCTTGGGAGTTCAATTCAGCTATGCTGAGAGTTAACTAGAATAATCCATGAATGTAGACAGAAATACACACACACACAAACACACACACACATGACTTCAACAAGTCAATTTTGCTAGTGTAGAGCTCAAAAATAAGAATGTCTTTAACTCTTTAAATTTTGATTAGCAGTTACCAAACTCACCTGTCAGAACACACACAATATCCCAGAGTCAGCACTGGGGGAAAGGAGGCTTTTCAAGGACCTAATCTGCAACATTACATGTGTCCATCACGGCATCTTGCACACCAGGAAATGCTATTGTGAAAAGTGTGCTTTTCAGGTCCATGTCTAACATTACTGACACTTTCTTTAAAAACTGCTTCTTGGACACAAGTTTTTCTACCTAGGAAGGAAGAAATGGTTTTGAAATTTATAAAGGAAGCAACTTTCCTCTTCATGACTGTGTGTGGCACTCTGGGAAACATTTCTGTTTCTGTGAATTATATGTGCAGTTGGTGGGGAGGGCCTGAGAAGAAACCCATCCACCTTATTCTCATCCACTTGGCTTTTACAAACATCATAATCCTTCTTGCAAAAAGATTGTCAAAGACAATGGCAGATTTTGGTTTAATAAGCTACCTAGATGACATAGGATGTAAGATCATTGTTTACTTGGAGAGGGTGGCCCGTGGGGTCTCCATCTGCACCAGCAGTCTCCTCACTGTGGTCCAGGCCATCATCATCAGTCCCAGAACATCTGGGTGGAGGAGGCTCAGACCACAGTCTGCATGGCACATCCTTCCATTCTTTTCATCCTTTTGGATACTCAATGCTTTAATAGGTATGAACCTAATCCATTCCATCACAACTATAAACCTGAATATATCAGAGCTTAAGAATAGTTACAGCTATTGTCATTTTATGCTAGAAAGTCATAAAACAAAATGGATTGTTCTCCCTTTCATGATCCTGAGAGATGCTGTGTTTCAGGGAGCCATGGGAGGGGCCAGTGGCTACATGGTATGTGTTCTCCACAAGCACCACCAGCATGTCCTCTACCTCCAGAACTCCAAGCTTCTCTACAGAACTCCCCCTGAGCTGAGAGCTGCTCAGAGTGTCCTTCTTCTGATGCTCTGTTTTGTTTTCTTCTATTGCACAGATTGTGTTGTTTCTCTATTTTTAAGTCTCTCTTTAGTGGACAATTCCTTAATGGCAAATATTCAAGAATTTATGACCCTTGGCTATGCAACGTTTAGCCCCCTTGTGTTGATTCACAGGGGTGGACTTCTGCCTGAGTGTTGGCATGCTCAGTAGGAGAAAATGTCTCTCTCCTTTATCTGTTCAATGAGTGTGAAAGAGATCTCAGTTCTACAATATTGTCAGTAAGATGAAGTCTTACAAAACAGTTTAAGCATGGGCTTATTCTCAATCTTCCTGGTGACTCAGGCCCTTGAGTGCAGAGAGTGAGGAAGACCATAACAAATGGCAATAACACAGAAACCTCATTTTCTATATTGCCACATTTTTAAAGGTACTTTGGTTTTCTAACTTTTCTACATTTGTATTCATTCATTGTATGAATAGTTTAGATGCATTTATGTCTGTGTAGCACATGCATGCCTGGAACCTTCAGCTTCAGGAAGAAAACCATCAAATGCTCTGTGACTGACTGAAGTTAAATAGATGTCTCTGACACAAATTATGACTGCCAGAAATTGAACCTGGCCGCTCTGGAAGACCAACCAGCACTCTTAACTACTGAGCTGTCTCTCCAGCACTGAGAAAGTAACTTTCATTAGAATTTGGAGAACTCATTTCACACCTACCGTGACTGGAAGTGTGCAGAAGAATTTGGTGGGTTGGATCACAATTCACCATGATTTAAACTTGTTAGTCCAAGAAATTCTTTTTCTTGCCCCTGACACTGTGCTTGCTAAATGGTAATACCACAAGGCTATTTTGGGATACTTCAAAGTGTCTGTAAGTATCCATCCATAGAAAAGATTTCATAGAATTGTGAAAGAATTACATGTACTCTGCATTCACTTCAGAGAAGTCCAATCAATGCCCCAGTGACAGAAACTAAATGCCCTGAAACATTTCATTGGTGCAAATTCATGAATGTTCTCTAGGAATAAAGACTATAGACATGGGATAAACTAGAAAACAAATTCACAGTAAACTTTGACATTATAGTGTCTATAGTTTCTATGTTGATTAAAAATGTGAATTTCCTTTTTACAAGATTAATCTGCAGTGTGATTGAAGCAGACTGAGGCTTGTTAGCAGCTGCCCTTTGTTAATGCCTGTTGCTCTCCACAACACTATTCAGCTGTTTGTCATCAAAGAGCTGCAAAAGGATCTGATTCTTCATCCATTTAAGTGAAGGATTCGCTGCTTGATTTCTTAAATTAGATCCACACAACAAAAAGTTGACATGATTCTAAGACTCTGATAGACCCATTCTGAAAAATACTTATTGCTATAATCACTGGACATAAAATTGTTGAATCATTATAAATATATTTATGCTTTAATTTTTAAAACTTATCAGTCATATTTGACTAGAATGTTTTTAAACATTTGGGTGCATCATGAATTTACTTTATAATGATGAATATGTATTTATTTTTTCCTTGATTACACGGTATTACACAAAACTTTTAAGTGATCTGCATTACTCTGTGCTTTAACTTATAAAATAGTTTGTTTTGTAATATAAATATTTATTTTATTTATGTCTCTATATGAGGTTATGCCTCGTTTTTAACAGTTGCCAAAAAATTAAATAAGAGAACATTGGGTTCCTAGAAGTTCTAAAAGTGCCAGATTCCTTCTTAAGGATATAATATAAAGCAAAAAACTGAGTCCCAATATCAAATAAATGGATTTATCAACATAACTATACAAGCCTTACAGAATACAATCCATAATATTAGTCAAAAAGAGTTACTAAAAAGTTTCAATGTTAATGTAGTCTGCTATATTGATTTATATATTTATTGATGTTATGAGATCCAGTAAATTTGTTTTAGGTGTAATTACCTTTATTGTCCAGCAGGTGTCATGGTTGCAGAGTTGCGACTAGCAGCGATGCAACCCATAGGGACACAAAGGGTCCTGAGCTGCTTTTGTTTCCTGCCTTGGTACTGGTTAAATACTGAGAAAGAGGATGGGGCGTCTGAAGCTGGTCCTGGGGATGCTGCTCAAAGCCATCACTAAACAATCCTCGACATCCTATTTGTCTGGGAAAAGAGCCACCAGGGGTTTTAGAAATGAAGGACACAAAGAAAGGTCTTCTGGAAAGGCAGACAGGTACATTCGCATGGAATTTGTGTGCAAACTGTGCTTAACATTAGATGCATATCTGAGGTGTCAGTGGAAACAAAACAAGAAGGAAAAAATGCAAATAAATAAATAAATAAGGTCAGGTACCTTGCAGGAGAAAACCATTTACATTTCCTTCAGACACCATTCTTTTCATCAGAATGAACAGAAATTTCTCCATGTGTTTCTCAGATGATTTCCCCTAGAGCTGTGTAAAGTCAAAAGATGATGTAGAATAACATTATACAATCGCCCTTTCTTGTAGTGGATCTGGAGGTGTGAAGACTATCCAAATATAACACATACTTTTCTCAGGGACCTTATCCTCACCCACTTGGCTTTTTCTAATAGGACGACAGTGACTAGAAATACAGCCACAGTGTTTTATTTCAGAAACTTCCTGAGGGATTGACTGCCTTAGTCACTGTACTATTGCTATGAAGAAACCCCACGACCAACCTATTATAAGAGAAAGTATTTAATTGGGGACTCTCTTACACTTTCAGAGATTTAGTCCATCATCACCATGGCCGGGAGCATGGTGGCATCCAGGGAGCTGGAGAAGTAGCTGAGAGCTATATCCTGGTCCTCAAGCAGAGACCGAGACTCTACCCCTGCATAGGCTTTTGAAAAGTCAAAAGTCCGCCCCCAGTAACACACTTCTTCCAACAAGGCCACAGCTACTCACCCTTATGAGCCTTTCAAATGTTGCCACTCCCTGGTGACTAAACATTCAAACATGTGAGACTATGGGGGCCATTCTTAATGAAACCACCACAACGGTGTCCGTTGTAAAGCTGTGGTCTGTCTGAGAAAGATGGCCCAGAGCCTTCCCAGCTGCTCCTCCTTTCTCCTCCATGTGGTCCAGGCTGTCACCATCAGTCCTAGGGCAACCCTGTGGACAAAGTTTAAACCACAGACATCATGGCAAATTCTTTCGTATCTTTAATTTTCTGCTAAGTTCCAAACTTGCTTTGCTACAACAGTGAGAACAGACCTGGAGTTGGAGTAAATAGTGGATATTGTTATACACTACCATCCTGACACACAATGAAATGGCTTTCCCTCTCTCCTGGGGTTCTTTGAAATGTCACCTTTCATAGTTTGAAGGAGCAGCAGGCCCAGGGCACTCGTATTTACAGACGTCACAAGCGCTCCCTCTGACGTCACAGCTCCACTTCTGTAAATTCCTGTCCAGAAATCGGAACAACGCAGACTGTTCTCGCCCGTACGACCGGCTTCCTTCCCTCTTATTGGGTAGATTTCATCCTCTCCTTGAGCACAAGCTCCACAGTGGTGCTTGACTGCACGATGCTAATCACTAAGGCAGTTCTGACTGTCAGGAGCCATTTTCCTTCTAAAAATCATTACAGGAACCATCACCCTGGGGAGTCTGCAGAGAACCCCACACCCATAATTATGTTAAGAATCATTCTACTGACAAAACCTGCCCCACACCCAATTAAGCTGTTGATGGAGAACTATCTGTCAGCGGAACCCGCCTCACATTCCAGCTATCCAGGGAACTAGGTGTGTCAACTCACGACTTCCTGGCCAAAGTGGTCTACGTGACCTGGACCACGAGGCGAGATCCCGTGCCCTGCCCCCCAAGCCCTCATCCAGGGGCTATATAAGCAGCAACCATGTCCCTAATAAACGGAGGCTGTGACAAACTTAGCATGGCCTCCTTCTTCTTTCCTAGCCCATTTATCTTCCAGATAGCACCCCTCCGTGACCCTGGAGTAACTGACTGCAGGGTGGGTTACGACTCCTAGACTGAGTAACCCACCCAAGGCAATCTACATCTGACTGTTGTTAGCTGCTCTCTGCCACTTTATCCTGATCTGCAGAGATGGTCTGTTAGGTACCTGCTGGAGTGCATGTTAAGTGCAGCCAATGCATTCTCCCTTCATTCTGCCTGAACTAAAAAAAAAATAAATAAATAGGATTTCGCTATGTACCTTCGGCTGATCTAGAAGTGGCCATCCTCCTGCCTTAACATCTCAAATGCCAGACAGGCACAACTACAGCACGTCTTGTCCTAAGGTTCTAATGTATCACAACATTAAAACAAGAGCAGGAAAGAAGCCTGTTACTAGGTAATCTTAAACTAATTCAACATTTCCAGGAAGTTCTAAAACAGACTCTTATCTAACGTTCCACAAGACCAGCATTATCATGTGACTTTTCCTTTGCGCTGGGGGGAAAAAAAGATATTCCTCCCCAGCCAGAGCATGAAAGCAAGGTAGGAAAGGTAGAGGTCCAATTGCTAAGCAACACAACAAAGCCAATATAGGCTGATTTTAAACCAAGTTAAAGAACACGAGGAGAAGGAGGGTGTACACAAACTTGAAAACAATGCTCCAGGTGAGGCTCGAACTCACAACCTCGGCATCGCTCTCGCGCACACACTGCTGTATAAGTACCGCGCGCTAACCGATTGCGCCACTGGAGCATCCACAAAGCACTTCCGGTCACTCGTTATACGTCCTACGTGCAACATCCAACGTTTGCTAGACCACAGTATGGATGTGCAGTGGACATGCATTCAGCGTTGCCCTCATCCCGCCCCACCTCCGGAGCGGGCTCTAACGGTGGTGCTGTGCAGGCGCACAGAGTTCAACCACGGATGCCCTGACTGCGGTTCTGAAGCCGAGACGGAAGGATAGTGGCGACTTGGAGAGCTTCACATCCTCCAGGCTTCCCACCAAGCGGCTAGCTAGTACAGCCTTCGCAACCCAGGAGGAGGCTGCTATCTGCGTGGCTCCAAAGCCATTCCCTGTCCTCCACCTTGGCGTGAAAAAAAAACTCCCTAGGAAGACGTGGAGCCCCGGCGGCAAATGGGATCCCCCAAAAGCTGCGTTTTGTCTTCTGCTTTGGTTCGGTCAAACAAAAGCTGGAGAAACCAAAGTACTTTGTTCCAGAGAGACTAGGACGTTCCTGGGGCTTTGCCTTAGTTGCGCAGTCGCCACACACAGTCTGGGAGT